TAACTAAAAATATCCGAATGAATAATATATTGAGTTCAATCAAAATCTAAAACTTGGTGTGGAGTTCAAATTTTAATTGTGATAATGTGAATAATGCCTAATTTTAAGCATAAGCAAATAAGTTAACGTTTATATAAGTAAATGCGGGTAGAAAAGATAGAAGAGGATGATAAATGATACGGAGTATGATTGTATGAAAGAACATGATAATTAATATAATCATAGTAATGAATGAATATATAAGTAAATAATGGTGCGTGTATTGTGAAATATAGCTAAATAGATGATAGGACAATTTTATTTTCCATTTAGAAAACAGTTTTTAAATTTTTTTCCGTTTTCAAAATACAAAATTGTGCTAATAAACATGTTTTTTATTTTTACTATTCTCTAATTCTTTAATTTTTCAAGAAACTGAAAAAAAAAAAAAAAAAATTCTCACTTAGTAAACGGACCTAAGGCGTAAAGCTCCAAACATTTCAGAAGAAAGTAAATATATTTTATGGAATAACTAGTTTTTTATGCGCATTGCGCCATTGGGATAATACCTAATATTTTTTTTAATAAGTACTTTAAAGTATATCAATGCAAGATTAAATTAGAATTGTTCATGCATAAATAATTGAATGTTGAATTTGCGTATTTAAATAGGTAATTCTAAGTTTACAAATGCAAGATAATATAGTCAAGATTGATTATAATTGTCAATAAAATAATTGTATATGTATGGTTGAAACCAAATACGGGACATAAGGGAGCGCAAATAAAAATTAGGGCATAAAATATTAAATATATACTAATATTGAAGAGCTAACTTCTGATTACCAAACAAGGACATTGCGAGGTAGTTTTCCACTTCAATTTGTTGTGTGATTTGAATACTCTTTTTGTCAATAAATCCACCAAGTAGTTAATATGATTGACTTAATTATATATTTTTTATTTATTTTTTATTTTTTTTAAAACAATTATTATTATTATTATTATTATTATTATTATTATTATTATTATTATTATTATTATTATTATTATTATTATTATTATTATTATTATTATTATTATTATTATTATTATTATTATCCTTAGGTCATTTTACATGTTAATCTAAACAACTAATTTTTTTAAATATTTTTTACCAACCGTTGATATAATTCGCTGGTCAAATCCGTCTAATGCTAACCGCTAACTGCTGATTGTCAAACAAGGACATTGCGAGATAGTTCTCACTTCAATTTGTTGTGTGATTTGAATACTCTCTTTGTCAACAAATCCCTCAAGTAGTTAATATGATTGACTTTATTAATTATATATATTTTTTATTTTTTCATGTATTAATAAAATACTTGGTAAATAAATATATAACATTATTTTGTATTATAACTTTGATATTTAATTTTAAAAAATAGTGCACAAAAAAAGAGAATAGACAATGTAGTGAATATAATCAATTGATGAATTTGAATGTAAAGAATTTTTACATTGCAGAAAAATAAAGACAACATAACTAATAAAATTACTTCTCTTAATTAATTTATTGATAATGAATAATTTTTTTTTTTAATAAAGACATTGTAGGGACACTGTAGTGAATATAATCAATTGATGAATTTGAATGTAAAGAATTTTTATATTGGAGAAAAATAAAGACAATATAACTAATGAAATTATTTCTCTTATTTAATTTATTAATAATGAATAATTTTTTTGAATAAATACATTGTAGACACATAATTCTAAATTAAAGAAATGTGTATGTATTATTTTTTTGTTGTAGCTACTAAATTATTATTTAATTTAATAAGAGTAAAATATAGTACTAATTATGCCAACTTGGATAATCATATTCATTAAGGATAAATTAAGAAATCTTATGGAAAAATTAAAATCTGATGAATTTGAGCTATTCATTTGATTAAAAAATTTAACCGCCATTTTTTCTACTCATTATAGACCTAACTCTCTTGGGCTCATATTACTATAGTAGATATGTGAAATGGTATGAATTAATTAATATTGCGTGATATTATGTGATATCATATATAGGAATTATCTTTGTTCACCATTATTGCGTGATATTATAGGAATTAAATATTTTCAAACAACAGATTTCCCCTCAACAACTTTGACTTCAAATTTTCGTCCTGATTAATTAAGTCAATTAATTCATCGTCCATCGATTCCGTAAATTCGTGAAATTAAATTCCCCAAATTAAGCCTACCATGTTAATAGTAGGCCCCGGATACACAATTTTTCAGCTAATAATTTTAGTCTTTAATTATATAATTTATTTTTATACATGGTATTTTTAGAGGTTTCACGTTATTGAGTTCTTAATCTTTCAGTCTAACAATGTCCAATTTACATTTGTCATTCTATAAGTGTGAAGGAAATAAGAAACGTTGAATTTTACTCTAAAAGTTAAGACTTAAATATAAATATGAGATTCTATAAGGGTGAAAGATTAAAAATACAGAAACGTAACCCCCACTAAGAACAATATTTACAAATTTCAAAATTAATTTTTATCCATTTGACTTAGATCCTCTTAATCTAGTAAGTAGTATAAATTGGATAGATTATAAGTGATATTCACCCACACATACCTCTATAGAAAGAAGGTAAAACAAACAAATAAATTAAGAGCAATGGGGAGTTGTTTTAAGTCCATAGTCATAATCTTGTTCTTGCTGGTAATCCTTTCTTCTGGTGATGAAATGGAAGGTGGAAGAATAGGTCTGCCGGTAACCAAGAAGAGGTGTATTAGCAAGAAAGGAACATGTTGGTCTAGCAAAAAATGCGATGAACAGTGTAAGAGACAAGGCTATGATAGTGGAAAATGCACTCTAACAAAACAATGTTGTTGCACAGCAACCGCTGATTGATGGGAGCTAGTTATAATATTTTATTTTAAGTTTTAGATGAGTATTGTACTGTTTTATTGCCAATATTTGTGTTGCTCATCTATATAAATGTTATGCGTGTAACTTTTGTGTTGAAACTAAGGCTTAAAGGCTCCAAAGTCCAAACAATTTGGATGGAAATACTATGTTCCACAAAGGCAATCGTTATGCCATGGAACTGTGTTCATCATCGATGGTGAATACGGTCCCAAGCGATAACGGTGTCTGTAAGTGGCACCGTTATCTTCCACCAATTTTTTTTTTTTTTTTAATTAACAGTGCGACTTTTCTTCTTTATTTTCACATTTCGCGGTTTCACTTCCTCTTCGCGCAAGCCTCTTCAATACTCATAAATTATGAATGTGCAGTTATGAAATTATGAATTTTCTTTTATGAGATTATGAATTTTCTGTTATGAAATTATGAATTTTTTGTTATGAGATTATTAATTTTCTGTTATGTGATTATGAATTTACAGAAAATTCATAATTACATAACTATAAATTCATAACAGAAAATTCATAATTTAATAAATGTAAATTCATAATCTGAACATAGAATGCAAAACGCCGTTAACAACACATTAATTAATTTTTTTCCCATAAAAACGACGCCGTTTTAGAACGTGTTCACAAAGCATGGTAAACACGTTTCCACGGCATAATTTGCGCCACATAGGGATGCCAATCAGGTCGGGTCAACCCATATAGGTTTATCCATTCATACTTATCACTTTTTTTTTTGTCAGGTTCAAAATTTTTTTACGTTAACCCTAAAACTTCAAACTATCAAGCTTATCGGGCATGTTAACTAAAATTTGTGAGATTTTAAAATTAACATTCAAAACTTTCATTTTTAAGAAGCTAACCAATTTTACGTTAATAAATATAAATTTAAACATCATTTAATGAATCTAAAAATCTCCATTTTAAAACGTTAGCTCAAAAACATAATGCAAGTATGTAACAATTAATTTAAAATATAATACAAGTATGACACATTTATTTTATACCTAAATATAAAAATAAAACCAAAAAAAAATAAAAGATACATATGTAATTCTTAACAAAAAATTATGTTTATAATGATGCATACATTTATTATTTTATATATTATAAGAGAATTGGAAAAAGCTAGCTAACTCTGCAATGCCCAAAGGATAATGCATATTACTATATTAGTATATCACTTTAGAATTTTTTGTATAAACTAGTGCATTTACATTAATAAACACAAACTTATACATTATTTGATCAATCTAGACCCCGTTTCCCAATTTCAACAAAAAATAATCAATATATTTACATTAAAATATAATAATTATAATATTTTTTATTTTTTATTATTTCTTTTCATTTGTAATAAATTTATTCATATAATTAATAATTGGAATAAGGGTCAAATAGGCCATCGAACTGCACACAATAAAACAATTAGGCCATTGAACTTAAAAAACCAACAATTAGGTCCCTAAACTAATCAATTTCAAACAATTCTTCCAATTTGAAGGTTTCCAACGGGTCAACAGGTCATCTCCCAAATTAATTATTTTTTAAAAAAAATAAATTTTAAAAATTAATTATTTATAAATTAAATTAAAAAAAAAAAAAACTGAAATCCAACCGGAGACGGTGGAACCAGTTTTTTTTTTTTTTTTTTTTTTTTTTTTTTTTTTAAATTTAAATAATTAATTTTTAAAATTTAAATTTTAAAAAATAATTAATTTGGAAGGATGACCTGTTGACCTGTTGAAAACCTTCAAATTGGAAGAATTGTTTGAAATTGATTAGTTTAGGGACCCAATTGTTAGTTTTTTAAGTTCAGTGGCCTAATTGTTTTATTGTGTGCAGACCTATTTGACCCTTATTCCTTAATAATTAAAAGTGAAATATAAATAAACGGTTAAATTAAAGGTGAAAAAAATAAAATAAAACAGAGAAAACAGCTAGCTAATAAAAGTTTTGGTCCCCATTGATTTTGGTTTTAATAAAAGGTGTGATGCCCCCACCTCTCCCGTCATTATTAGTAACCTTTGCGGCTTTCTTTTAACGTTAGCATATTTCAAAGTACCGTTGGAGACAACACATTCAAATCTCCCCCATACTACATTATATTATATTGCCCTTCATTTCATCAAATGAAGAAGTAAGGCAGACCAACATTATATTCTTGCAGATTCGAGTCCATGAAAATGGGTTGTTTTCTTGCCTGTTTTGGTTACGCCAAGAAACGGAAACGCAGAAAGCCAGGCAGCTGCAAAGTTCAATCAACTGATCACCTGGTAATTAACACCATCTAATCTATCTATCTGCAACTTAATTAAAGACATCATTAGCGGGTAATTCTTAGCTTCATCATCTTCATTAAATTGGTGTCTGTATAGGTTGCCGCCGGAAGTTATGTGCCTTTGGACTTTGAAAAGCTTGATGCATCAGATTCTAATACCAGGTAGGATCACTACTGGAAATTATGGAATTTCCGACCACTTGAAAGTGATCTTAAATCAAGTTAAAAGCAAAAAGTGGTCGGAAATAGCAACAAAGATTTTTTCGGATACCAAAAATGGTCGGAACAAGGCTTTTGACTTGTTTTAAGATCACTTTTGGTGGTCGGAAATTTCATAATTTCTAGCCGTGGATACCGATTCTTGAATGTTTGTTTTGATAGACAATTTTTATGTTGGAAATTTAGTTATTTTATGCAAAATTTGGGTGGTTTAATGCAGCGCAAGACGAAAAGAAGAAGCAAATGTTAAAATGAAGAAAAAGAAAGTGAGGTTTAATTTGAATGTGAAGACGTATGAGCCATTAGAGTACGAGGAAATTGAAGATTATTTGTCGGAGGGTGAGGAGAAAACAAAATGGGAGTATAGCAAGGAAGAAGCAACAAAGGCAATGCGATCGTACCCTTCAAATTACAGATACTATAACTGCGTGGATGAAGAGGAAGAGGAGGGCGAGATGGAACTGGACGAGAGTGATCTTGAATTCGACGAGATTGAGGATTTTGACGAGGAAGATTGCCATGTTCCCGTGAAAACAGGGAACAGAGATTCACTGTCGGGTGGTGGTCGGTATGTAAGTTCTGTGTTAAATCCAGTTGAAAATGTGGTTCAGTGGAAAGCGATTAAAGCTAGAGAAAGAGTGGAGCTAAAGAATGAGAAGGAAAATATGAGAATTTCAGATCCTCTGGGTTTGAACACGACAATCAATCTTAAACACTGCCAGACACAGATTCCGGTTGATGCCAGTCTTTCCAATTGGTTAATTTCTTCGTCTGAGACCAAAATGTTGCCTAGACTACCACCTCTGCAGACATGGGCAAGCTGCTAAGGAGTAGTGTGGGTTCCATTTTCTGGTTTTTTTTGTTGATTACTTTCTGACATGGTGGTTTGTGGATTTGTTGTTTGTATTCATTCCTACACTAAATGTACAGGGGCAAAAGAGAAATGTGTGTTCTTCTGGGTAAGAGAGATCTCTTAACAGAACCTCTTTCAGTTTGGTTCAAATTAGTGTTTAACAGCTAAGGCCATCCACACTTGTGGATATTGTGGGGAGAATTCAGAATTAAATCTTCCCTTCATGAGATAATAGCTAGTGTGGACATGAGATAATTGAAAAATAATCTCCCTGCAAATGTAGGGAGATTGTCAGAAAAAAAAAAAAAAAAAAAAAAAAAAAAAAAAAAGAGAAAGAAGAAGAAGCAAGGCTGTGCGCGTTCGCGCACAGCCTTGGGCAAAAGCCGGGCGCGTGCACTGCACGCGCCCGGAGGCGCGTCAGGCGCGCCAGTCGGCGCGCTTGTCTGACTACTTTCTTTTTTTTTTAATTTTTTTTTTTGTTTTGTTTTTTCTTTTTTTTTTTTTTCTCTCCTCTCCCACACTCTCTTTCCTAATCACTCTTACATTATCTCCCCATTCTTCCCAACCAATGTGGATGCTCTAAGGTGCTGAAAAATCATTGTTTTCATTGTACTTTCAACTCTTCCAGTTCTGCATAATGAGTACTTACCATTTGTGCCATTCTATATCCAATTTACGTTTACATTTTGTTGGACCGAGGACAAGTCCATGCTCCACTTTGGATCCAAAAATACACAGTTTATATACTGAAAGTTCATAATTTACATACTGAATGATCATAGGGTCCGTTTGGAAAGCAGGAAAATGACTTCTGGAAAATGAGTCATTTTCCTGAAGTCATTTTCCTTTCCTGTGTTTGGCTGGAAAACTGTCTTTTGGTGTTTGGTTCATTTTTCAGAAAATGATGGACAACTGTCTTTTGGTGTTTGGTTCATTTTCCAGAAAGTGAACAGATTGGTATACTTAAACATTTTAATTGTTATTCGATAAATATATTTTTATTGTTTTTTGTATAATATAACAATTTTTATTTCAAATTCCATGCTACATAAATTTTAGTTGTATTTAATTCGAATGTCTTTGCTCTCAACCTCTCTTTCTAGTATTAAAACTATTGTCATAATATGGCAATTTGAAACCACAATTACATGTTAGAAACAACATAAAGGAATCAACAAAATCAAGTATTGAAAATTAAAATTCACAAAGTCTTAGGATCCAATATAATCAAGTATTAAAGATCCAACATAACCAACCAACTACAAAACATAAATAAAAATTTTGTAGAGTGGATATATATCTTTTATTTGTCTGTCATATGAAGCAGATGATGTTCTGGGCATGAAAGAATTTAATGTTCCTCAGATTACTGCAATCTTGGCATGTCTAGTTAAAGATAAAGAAATGGGTAAATTAAAATGGGTCCAATAGATAATGCAAAACATCCAGATCGAGTGAGTAGCAACAGGCTGGTATTAATTAAAGGAATCTGCAGTGGCAGGAATAATTTATGTTGTCTGTTTATGCTTGTGATGCTAATTCTGCTGTTCCATTTTCAAATATATCTCCTTTCTATTCTGTAGTGTCAGTTTCTCCACTTTCTTCTTGTATGCTTTCATATGAAGAAGTGAAGAAGTGAAGAAGTGAAGTAGTGAAGTAGTGAAGTAGCGTGGATGGAAAATGACTTCCCCAAAAAAAAGGGGAAGTCATTTTCCAGAAAATTGCCTTCCTTTTCTATTGACTTCACCTCATTTTCCTTTGACCAGTCATTTTCCAATGTAGCCAAACACCCAAAACCCGGAAAATGACTTTCAGAAGTCATTTTCCGGGTTTCCAAACACACCTTAAATGTTCATATAAATTGTTATTTTGGACCCGGGTCTACATTGTAAGATGGATCCGGGTCCATGGCATAACTAATAGGGAGTGTTTGGTTCACGGAATGTTAGATTACCTTATGAAATGTTAGATTGTTGTGTTTGGTAAAAACTGGGCTATGTAAAATGGCAAGGTAATCTAACATTACTGATAAGAGTCTAAATGCTAATAATTTCACCCTGCATTTATGCTTTTTTTTTCTTGTTATTTGTTATAATTTTGCCCAAAGTGTCCCTCATTTGATTCATTTGTGTGTTTATGTGTAATTCTTGATGATTTAAATGAATTGAATGATTTTTGGGGCATTTCGGATGCATGTAGAGTCAATGGGAGCTAATGAGAAGCTATGAAGATGGGGGTAACACCTCTTAGAGAGCCAAATTAGGTTTGTTTAGTGGTCTTGGTCATTTGGACAAACAAAGGCAAAAGTGGAGCAAAAGAGCAAGAAGTTGAAATTTCTGCATAAATTATCCACTGCTTGGTATTTTGACCATATCTCTGCGTAGAAATGTCCAAATCAATTGATTTTTATGTCATTGGAAAGCTAACTTGAAGGGCTACAACTTTGATGAATATTAAAAACGCTAATTCAAAATTTTTAGGGATGAAAAATAGCCTAGAAGTCGAAGATGCTAAGTAGGATATCCTCTGAAGGTAGCCACGGGATTGGCCACGTCCATGGCCACATTCCAGTGAAGACACTTTTTCGGCCACGGGATCGGCCACACCCGTGGCTAGCCTTCTTTCCTTGTATTTAACTCCGTTTTAAGCCATTTTAGCATATTTCCGATTCATTTTAGAACCCTAGTTTCCCTCTTTCATTTTCTTTGATATTATTAGGTTAGATTAGGCTTATATTTATGTTCTTAAACATTTTGAAAGCTTGGATTGAAGCATTTAATCTTGGATTTCAAAGATTTCATATCCATTTTCAATAGATAAGTTTTTCTTCTCTTTATTTTATTCATTTGCAATTTACTTTCTTGCTTTATTGCTTTGATCTTATATCTTGTGTTCGTTATGGATTTCCTTATTGATTATGAATATTGTGCTATTTTCGTTATACTTATGTGTGATAGTTCTCCTTGGAAGGAGGTAGGGATGTATGCTAGGTGTTTGATGGATGACTTTGAATTGGTTGAAAAGGAAAGTTGATACTTGATCTTGATGATGTTGATTGACATATGCATGGTTGAGTCCTGATTAAGGAGTGACAACTTAGTCTAAGCTCAATTAGTTGATCAACCATACTTCACCTTTGAGAAAAGGGGAGTGTGTGATGTTAAGAACAGTGTTTGATGAAATGCCTCTTAGACATTCTTGAGTCATGAGAATGTCATTGAATGTTCTAGGAGTGTGGGATGACCTTGAGAATGGCTTCTCTATAGTTATATGACATCTATCATATTTTGGCTCCCAATTTGGTTTCACTATCTTGCCCTATCTTTAGTTCCTATCTATCTCCACTTTCTTATCATTTGTTTTCATTATAGTGTGTTATTTGATATTATGTTTGTATCCAAATCAATCATTCGATTTTGCTAGATTTCCATGAGGAAATCAATATCTTATGTTTGGAACCTTAAAGCTCTACTCCTATAATCATTCCTTGTGAGAACGATATTCGGTGTAAGGATACCCAGGCATCCATTCTCCCAAAAGACTACTTCATCAATTACCTAAGTTTAGCAAGGGAATCACATTCCCTCAAAAAAGAGAAAAAACCTGATGTGGGGAGGCAATGTTTGATTCAAAGCTAAGGAAATATTATATAATGTCAACGCAAACATAGACATGTTGAATAACCAACACAATATAACATCCAATATAAATAAAATAATAGAGATAGAAATTTTTTATTGAAGGAACAATTATAAAAATAAAAAATAAAAAAAATTACCAGAGTCAAACTAATATTGTTTCCCATCTTAAAATTCTGCCTGTCTTCCATCTACTTATTATTATTCAATACTTTCGTGAAGCTTCATGATCAGTATCACCGTTTGCTGCAGATCCATTCTGATTCAATTCAACCGTCCCTTCTGAGAAATCCGAGATTTCAGCCTTATACTCATAGTACTTAGCCACAACAAAAAAGAACCCCAGATTCACCACATTAAGCAGCGCAATAAACCAGTAATAGTAATCCAGACGAGAATCATTAAGGTTGTTCAGAATCCACCCTTTCCGACCACCCCTCTCCGTCACGCGAGAAACCGTGGACAGCACGAAGCTGCTAAGGAAATTCCCGACCCCCAAACTCGTCGGAAAACACGACGACCCCAGGCTCTTCATGCTCTCCGGCGCCTGGTCGTAGAAGAACTCCGTCTTCGCCACCTCCACGAACGCGTCGGCCAATCCCAGCAGGAAGAGCTGGGGGAGCAGCGTGAAGATGGTGAGCGGCACTTGCCCGCCGCTCTCCACCAGGCCGTGCTCCTTGGCGACGGCGAGGCGGTGCATTTCGGTGAATCCGGCGACGATCACGACGACGATGTTGAGGACGAAGCCGATTCCTAGGCGCTGGAGCAGGGTTAAGCCTCGGGGGTTTTGGGTCCATTTCCGGACGGCGGGGACGAAGGCTCGGTCGTAGATGACGATGCAGAAGAGCATGGAGAAGGTGACCATGCCGACGACGGAGGCCGGGGGGAAATTGAAGTTGCCGATTTTTCTGTCGAGCGTGACGCCTTGCTTGACGAAAAGTGTGTTGATTTGGGCGAAGAGAATGCTGGGAATGAAGGTGGAGATTAGGATTGGCACCAATCGGAGCATTTGCTTTGTTTCTTCTACTTGCGAAACTGGGCAGAGCATCCATGGAGTCGTGGCGCCTGTTTGAACACAGGCTTTGTTTAGAAACCTGCACCATCAATCATTCCGGCCATTAGAGGATTGATCGAGAAAACCCAATTTATCAGTATTATTAGAGGAAATGCAATAAGGATCCTATTAATTTCAGTCCTGACTTTTAAAAGTGTCAATTTAGTACCTTTAACTATGTAATTTTTGTCAATTTTAATCGTCAAGTTGTCGGCCAAATTTCGCCCGGAAAATTTTAATAGTTAAAATAATGAGGATATTTTAGTCATTTCAAGCCTCTTTTCTTCTTCTCCGACGAGTCCATCCCTTTCTCTACCGTTTCCGGCGTTCTTTCTCCGTGTAAACCCTATTTTTAATATCATCAAGCCTCCTTTCCATAATCTTAATACATTGCATTCTCTAGAAACGGGAGAGGAAGGGATGGACTCGCCTGGGAAGAAGAAAAGAGAGGTGAAATGACCAGAATACCCTC